TGTGACTATCGCTCGTATTCACAAACATTACTATGAGGTCTCACAGTGCGCGTGGACGCAAAGGGTGACAAACGAACCAATCACAGAACTCTATTCGCTGTGCATTCCATTTGCTGCTTCACTTAAGCAAGCATCGTTTGTGAATACGGGCGTATGTGTAGATTTCTATCAATCGAACGTATAAAACTAAAATCGTTTTATTTAAAAGCATAGTCACGAATTACCTACTTATTAAACCGTGTGACATTGTTTAGTGAGTAAATGAATACTTCGCGCCTACGCAGCTACACGTCAAAATGCGATTTCCTCTAATTTTGGTTTTGTATGGTACATACTTAAGTAAATGCCTATGTAATACAAGATTACGACGTCATTTTGTTCTTACTAACTTTTTATTGCATAATAGCAACCATTGCAATAATCCAATTTAACAGTTACCTAATTTACCTAATTAAAAACTGAGATTAAAAAATAACAAATAAGTTTATTATAGAGCTAAAGATAAAAGGTTCAGTATGTCTTGTATTTATTAGAAACTATTGTCAATGTGCAAAATAATGTTGCTAAAATACCTACTATTATAATTCACGATTACCAAGATAATATGTATAGCATTGTATTACGAATATTTACTCAAACCATTTTTACGTCATTTTTTGTGATGCTTTTTTAAAAACTTGAACCACGTCTAAAAAGGGTAGGTACTAATGAGTTCCTAAGCTCAGTCTAGAGTATTTTTCTGGCTGACTAGACAAAAAAGATTTGCTCAAACTTGCAATGTTAAGTAATTATTAATCTGAAAAACTCGTCTCACCGTCGCCTTTAGTTCTTGCGCTTCTTTTGTACATATTTTTTCTCGCTTTTACGTTTAGGAAAAGTTAAATAAAGTTTCGCTAACGTCTGCTTTTTGGAGGAAGGTTCCACACTTAGAAATACTTTTTCATAATAATAATGTAACCTTGATTCACATTTTTCATACATTAAACAGAACAAAAATAAGTTTTTCACTGAGGCAAACTTAAAGTCTGCTGGGGTGATTCGTCGTGTAAAGACAAGTAAATTTAAAAGTGTGGATTCTAGTAAAGAAGTGCCAAGTTCCAAAACTGAATACTACAGTGTAGACTCTACACGCAAAACATCTAAACGCTCAACGTCGATAATCACTAAACAGGAGAGGTGTAAACAAATGTTTGGAAATGTTTTGTTAGTAAACACGCAAAGGCAGTTAAAGACACGTATACGGCGTATTTCTATTTGGGTTCGAATACTTACCTATCAGAATTGAACGTACAAACACATTTGACAGTAAGCTCTATATTTTTAGGAACATGGTTTCTATTATATACGACGTCATTTTGTACGTTTTATCTACTAAATGTTGATCCTACCCACCTGGAAATAAAACCCAGAACTTTTAAATAAAAATGTTCGAATTTTTTCAAACTATATAAGTTTTAAGTAAAGCGTGATCTCTACAAGAAATATTAGATCTATTATCTTTTCTTTTAGATATTGGAACTACCATATCTGCGTTCATCATATCATTCACATCACATCACAAACATTGCTTCTCGCCTCTCACTTGGAGTTTTATCTTTAGTACAACATCGTTATTTAAAATTGCCAAGTGAATTGTTTCACTTTGCATTTTGCTGCAACCGAGACGAAATTTAAATATGAATTTGTAAGATTTGAATTTTATGGCGTAAATTCATTCTCTTGTTAAAATTAAATTAAATTGCTTCAAATTATGCAAATGTTTACAAAAATACAGACTTTCAGCAATGTTCAGCTCTACAATAAAGTTGAAATGGCCACTTTTGGATAACATTAACTAAAGTGCCAGCAGATTTAATGAAGAACGAATAAAAGCTTAAAGCACATTTTCATAAATTACTACCAATTTATTGTTAGTTTCTGAACCGAGTGATAAAATTAACTATTTCTCTAAAGCTATGTTAGCTAGGTATGTTTCATTAACTTCTGCAATAGATGAGATGCTCAAACAAAGAAATAAATCTTTAAGTAGGTACACTAGCTCCAAAACGTAAAGCACATTAACTATTTGGTACCTACGTTTTGTTACAGANTCAATATTCATTTAAAAATGCAAAAATCCAGTAGAAAAAATACTTATTTTTAACAGAGCTAAAGCCCAGTCTGTGAGCACGTAGAATTTTGTCCAATGACCCCAAGGTACTCATCCTTATCGTTCAACATAATGACGCGCAAGCATGGGTAGCTTGGGGTCATTGGACAAAATTCTACGTGCACGCAGACCAGACTACACCTTATCTTTTGGGCAGGTATAGCTGCAAAACAAGCCTATCACAAATTCTCTACTAGTCAACCATAATAATAACTTACCGAATTAATATCGATACTACCTACACTCTGAATCCAGCAGCCAATTCGAGCAATATGTTCACTCCACTCTCGTGGGGCCATTCGCCGTTTCGATAATGTTGATGGTTAACGTTAACCCTTACAGGCGGTGAGGAAAATGCCGCTTATTGCACAGTGCCCGGGAAATTAGGTCAGGTTACTCGAAAAAAAGATTGTTAACTTTTTTTATGCTTTTTATTCTGTTTTTAAATAGGACTGATAATTTTAATTTTTGCATGGAGAATTCCATTACATTATGCTTTAAGTTTTTATTCTGTTTTTACGTACGATTGATAATTTTAATTTCTGCACGGACACTGGACAGTTCTAGTTATTCTACTAATAATGCGACAGAAATATTAGATGAGTATAATGAAAGTTCAGTTAATACTTTCCTTCAAAGCTTACTTAGAAATCGGTCTACATAATAATTTGAGGGCCGCAGTTTGTAGTCGCCTGGCATTGGAGTTAACGATGAATTCTTAATAGAAGCAAAATATTTATGTTTAATCAGCCTTAGTCAATAAATCATATCCAAGGCCTTCACTTCTTTACTTTGATAGTAGGTACCTATATGGTTGGCAATTGAACCTAGGTTCAACTTTGTAACCGCTGGAGATTGTTTTTTTCTAAATTAATTATCATCAGATTCGTTTAGAAAGCAATTGAGTGGAGAATGAAAGCATTAATTTTAATAAAGGGTAGCGGCGGTTATCCTCATCAAGTTTTCAGCGACCTTTTTGCGGGTTTCATTTTTGTGTTAATTACGTGAAATTGCTTTTACTTCAAAAAAGGGTCGTTAAAAGTCGATGTGTGGGACCTAAGGATACTTTTACGTGCAAATGGCACACTATGCATTTTTGTTGCAAATTCGCCCGTATACCTACCAACTGAATAAGATCCCGTGGTATTTACCTTGATGAGCCGCGGTATGTACTCACCGCATTTAACCGTCAAACAAACACTTCGAGCGACAACTTGTTTATCCCACTGGACAACATCGCAGCAGCACGGGAATTACACCGGTCAACAAAAAAAAATTTTTTTCTTGCGCATGGATTTTACTTATTATATTCTGATTATGTAAGCAAATGCATATAAAAAAGTGCGATTACAAATCGAAAATATTTGCTTTTTAAGAAGTTATAGCGATTTGAATTTTCTATCTTCATAGTAGAATGTCTCTCAAGATGCACGTCACATTCTCATTGGGATATATTTATAAATAACNTTGTGTACCTAGTTAGTGTCTGGGTTGGAATTAGCTAAAAACCGTAGGGCTCTTGTAATTTAGTAGATGTACTATGGGTATATGCCTGAAATATTTATGTATTTTCATAAAGTTTCTTGATTTTTGAAACAGATTTCTCTTTTACGATTTTTTACTTAGGTAATTTAAAGCCAATCGTTGATTGTTCGAAGCTTAGATACTTAAATAAAATATTTCATTGGCTTAGATCAAGGCAAAGTTGCGTGAACACACCAGGCTATAATTATTCAAAAGAGAATAAAGCCAACCATGTGTACAGTGTACAGTCTGATAGCCGTTTACTTCCACCCACTGACGAATCTATAAAAAGTAATTCGTTACAGCGATGTGGTATCTATATTTTAGTCGGAATATAGGGAGCAAGGTAGTACCTTGCAACTTTTAAAGCTCTAAATAATACCATAGTTTGAGATGAAACTAAAATTTTTAAAATTGCTCACCTTTTCATTATCAATCGTATAAAATCAAATGAATTGCGAATTAAAAACTTTTTCATTACTGAGTTACACCGAAGATAGAGTCTATAGTTTTTGTAGAACCATGACCATAGCGAAACGTTAAAACTGCCATGTTGACAGTATGCTGAAATTACAAAGATTGCTTTTCAGCGTTTACAAAATAGTGTATAAAATACCAGGGAGATCATTGATTAAAATAAATGGCACCAAAACGTAACAAGAAGTTTGCTCAGAAGAGACAATCGGACGCTCCCAATGCCCCTGCCACCCGCGACCCGACGGTGCCTGTCGCAGTACCGGCACCGACAACGTCCAAAGACCTAGCACCACCACCACAACCGCCACCACAACTCCCAGGCAAAATCGANTTTATAATATTAGTGTAGATTATGGGGGCTTATTCGCAAGAAGAAGGGGCACGCTTTCATCAAAATATAGTGGGATTTGAGAAACGACGTTACCAAGGCCAGTATACTGAAAGCATGATAGGGTTAGATTTTTATGAAAAAAATATTCTATGGAACATGACAGGAAATTAGAACTTTTCATTTTTAATAAATATTTGGACTCTATTTTAATTTTTCTCTAGTGAGAATGAATCTTAAATGGATGTTTGTTATGTTTTAATAATTAGAAATAATGAAAGAAAGAAAGAAAAAAATATATTTGGCAACAAATTAAATCATCTCCATGTTCATGCTTCATACATTCATTGATATGAATTGTTCAATTTTTTACACATAAAAGCAAATTCAGAACAATTTTTTGTTGTTATTCTTTTTTCTAGGTTCTAAAGCAATAAAAATAAGCTATGCATAACCCGTGCGCAAAAATACTGTAGACAGTTGTTATTCACATTCAGCCTTCAGTGCCACTCTACCATCGAAGCGAAGCGCGCGTTCCTTTCTGTCTCTCCCAAGTTTACGAAACACACCGCGTTTCTTTTGTTTTAAATAGAATTCGAACGTTTAGTTTTTTTTTATTTGATGGTTTTGTGCCAGTTATGAAAATTAAAAAGTGGAAGTTATAAAAAAAGTTTGTAATAATGTGAATGATGTAGTGATTTATAAAGAACTTTTCTTTCGATGCCTGGTAAGTTTTGGTGTAATCTTAAGATTTTTAAACTTAATTGTTACCTACTGAATACAACAAGGTACCTGCATACGATTTTTGCTGAGCCGGCGCATTTTCAGCATGCTTCAATAAAGTTAAATAATGTATGCACCTAAATTTTAAATGCTGAATAAACTAATTCCATTCTATTCTATAATTCTATACCAAACATTTAATAGAGTACCTAATGTGACAAAATTAAAATATTTTTCTGTAATTCATAATCTGCTTGCCTAATCTAGACAACAAAAACATACAGGGTGTCCCGAAAACAATGGATAACTCTGCAACCATCGATAGGCCTTGCCATGGTCCTAACGTCCAATTTTGACCCCAGTAACATTCATATAAATTAATCTATCTATGTATTATGAAAAAAATTCAAAAACATAAAATGCCCTTTCATAAAAATAATTAAGGTAAGATTAAGATAACTTATACCAGCGAAATTTATTTTAGGAGTAGTCTAAACAATAATATAATAAATTAAGCAAGAATGTAAATATTTGGCAATAACGAACACTCCGCACCTCATAAATGAAATAATACAGGCTTATGTACACATATAGACTCATTTATCAAGCCAAGGCAGTCAATTACGGCTGGCATGTTGGTGGATAAATCATGTAATTGATACTGTTGGAAATTCGCGGGATTTACGATGTTTTCAGAGAGGAAAACTTCGTACATACGCCATACAATATGATACATACGTGTATGAAGTACATACACGTAAGCCTAACAGCCTAATAACAAGAAAACCGAGTCAAATAATGCAAGTATGAATCCAGAATCAGTCAAGTAATCACAATGTCTCTTCTTATTTTCCTACCTGAAAACTGTCCATAGGCTACGAAACTGCAAATTTTAATGCTTAAAGTAGCCTACTTATTTTAAGTTTTTCCTAAAACTTTAACACAACAGCTGATATAAAATGTAAACAACGCTTCAACTGTGGTTTCAACTTAAAACACAACCTTATTGATTATCACGTTATACATACGTCATAAAAGGTTGCTTGGTTTTTTCCTAAAATGACTTGTTCGCCCACACAGTGTATGTAATTTTATATGAAGTCGGTTAAAAAGGTCATCTCATTGGTTCAGATATGACGTAGTGATTTCTGTGTAATAAACGGTCTATATAAAATTATTATTTAAAAAATACTTTCTTATTCAAATAATTACGTTAATTTACATTATGTTAATGTAAAGTTTAGTAAATAATTGAGGCGTTCAAATTCAATGTGAGATTATCCCTAACTTGATAAAAAGGTATCCGAGTTTTATGCCCTATTTCACATCATGCCCTTTTATTTTTGGAACCTTAGGTTCCCCTTGTGACTTCTCTGAGGGAAAATCTATCTTTTACCGATATTGCAAGTAAGTGAAATATAGGAATAATTTTGTAATAAAGTGTGTGACTATCGCTCGTATTCACAAACATTACTATGAGGTCTCACAGTGCGCGTGGACGCAAAGGGTGACAAACGAACCTATCACAGAACTCTATTCGCTGTGCATTCCATTTGCTGCTTCACTTAAGCAAGCATCGTTTGTGAATACGGGCGTATGTGTAGATTTCTATCAATCGAACGTATAAAACTAAAATCGTTTTATTTAAAAGCATAGTCACGAATTACTTATTAAATCGTGTGACATTGTTAAGTGAGTAAATGGATACTTCGCGCCTACGCAGCTTACGTCAAAATGCGTTTTCCTCTAATTTTGATTTTGTATGGTACATACCAGATGCCTAATGCAATACAAGATTACGACGTTTTTGTTCTTACTAATTTTTTATTGCACAGCAACCTAAAGATAAAAGGTTCGGTATGTCTTTTATTAGAAACTATTGTCAATGTGCAAAACAATGTTGCCAAAATACCTACTAATTCACGTTTACCAAGAAATATAGCATTGCATTACTAATATTTACTCAAAGCATTTTTTTACCTCATTTTATTGTGATGCATTTTTAAAACCTTGAACCACGTCTAAAAAAGGGTAGGTACTAATGAGTTCCTAAGCTCAGTCTAGAGTATTTTTCTGGCTGACTAGATAAAAAAGATTTGCTCAAACTTGCAATGTTAATTATTAATCTGAAAAACTCGTCTCACCGTCGCCTTTAGTTCTTGCGCTTCTTTTGTACACATTTTTTCTCGCTTTTACGTTTAGGAAAAGTTAAATAAAGTTTCGCTAACGTCTGCTTTTTGGAGGAAGGTTCCACACTTAGAAATACTTTTTCATAATAATAATGTAACCTTGATTCACATTTTTCATACATTAAACAGAACTAAAATAAGTTTTTCACTAAGGCAAACTTAAAGTCTGCTGGGGTGATTCGTCGTGTAAAGACAAGTAAATTTAAAAGTGTGGATTCTAGTAAAGAAGTGCCAAGTTCCAAAACTGAATACTACAGTGTAGACTCTATACGCAAAACATCTAAACGCTCAACGTCGATAATCATTAAACAGGAGATGTGTAAACAAATGTTTGGAAATGTTTTGTTTGTAAACACGCAAAGGCAGTTAAAGACACGTAGGTATTCTATTTGCGTACGAATACTTACCTATCAGAAGTGAACGTACAAACACCTTTGACAGTAAGCTCTATATTTTTAGGAACAAGGTTTCTATTAAATGTGTATTTTATCTACTAAATGTTGATGGAAATAAAACCCAGAACTTCTAAACTAAAATGTTTGACTTTTTTCAAACCATGTAAGTTTTAAGTAAAACGTTTATCTCTACAAGATATATTAGATCTATTCTCTTCTCTTTTTAGACATGGAACATGGAACTACCATATATGCATTTATTACGTCATTCTTTAACATCACATCACAAACATGACTTCTCGCCTCTCACTTGGAGTTTTATCTTTAGTACAACATCGTTATTTAAAATTGCCAAGTAAATTGTTTCACTTTGCATTTTGCTGCAACCGAGACGAAATTTAAATATGAATTTGTAAGATTTGAATTTTATGGCGAAAATTCATTCTCTTGTTAAAATTTCTTCAAATTATGCAAATGTTTACAAAAATACAGACTTTCAGCAATTTTTAGCTCTACAATAAAGTTGAAATGGCCACTTTTAAATAACATTAACTTAAGTGCCAGCAGATTTAATGAAGAACGAATAAAAGCTTAAAGCACATTTTCATAAATTACTACCAATTTACTGTTAGTTTCTATACTGAGCGATAAAATTAACTATTTCTCTAAAGCTTTGTTAATGTTTCATCAACTGCTGCAATAGATGAGATGCTGAAACAAAGAAATAAATATTTAAGTAGGTAGGTACCTACACTAGCTCCGAAACGTGAAGCACATCGACCTACGATTCAACTACGTGTACGTTCATAGTTTCCACAAATAGGCACGGCATAATCACAGATCACTAATAGCTGATCCTATGGATACCTATGTGACGTCCGCACTGCACAGATCTCATAAATATGGATCAGTGGCCAGCAGTCTGTAATTTGATGGCTTCCAACGCGCATTCTGTCCGAGTCGAAATATTGAAATGAAATTTCACTGTAACACGTTTGATGCGGTTGATGTTGTTGCCGAAATTTGCTTGATATTTAAATGTTAAAAAAAGTATTTTATATACCTGATGTTGAAGTATGTATGTATGGGAAGTGAGGAAATATCTTAATACACAGTTCCATGTTGTTTGACACTACATTAAACAACAACACATATTATTACTTCAATAAAATTTAGTAATGGCAACTTCTCTTGGTTGCCTGGTCAACAATTTTCATGCATACCTACTTAGTTTTTCCGACATAGCAATTGAAATAAAACTTTAGAAAGTCAATATATAAAAGTGAATTTTATCATGGTTGGTCTTGTGCCGTGCATATTTGATGTTTTAGCGTTCTTGAAACTATAAGCTTTATTTACAGCTTTATTAAATCTTTGGGGACCGTATACGACTGCAGTAAAAGCTCTAGCTCTGAGTAAAAGCTTTGAAACATACGACAGAGCAATTTTATGGCGGTATGGCTTTTTGACATCGTAAATCGTATTGTCCTAGGAGTCTTAAAGTTTATCATAAACTATACTCATAGGTACTTTTCTTAGAAATACAACCTGCTAGAAGTTTTAGGGTATTGTCAATTTAAGCTATTTACCTAATCGAAACTCCCCTCAATGATTTCCATTATGACCGGTTAGTTGGGTTGTTCAGAAGTGGATGTCCTATGGCTGAAATTATGATGATGATGAATCGAAACTAGTCAAAATATTAGTTAGAAACTAGTCAATTAAATAATATAATGAAATGTAAGTCTTACCGACACCAAAACATTGACTGGATATTCAGTTCTTTACATCTTCACACCTGATACGTTTGAAACGATTTTCGTACTATCTCTAGTCCGTTTGTCACGAAAATTGCAAAGGAACGGCATTATCTTCCAACGTTTGTCTTCATTCACTCCGATAACCTCCCGGGAAAATAGGTAATTTACTCAGATAACGTCTGTATTCTGAAATGATGCTCAAAACAGGCATATAACACTGCGATTACTTATCTATACTAATATTATAAAGCTGAAGAGTTTGTTTGTTTACTTGAACGCGCTAATCTCCGAAACTACTGGTCTGATTTGAAAAATTCTTTCAGAGTTAGATAGTCCATTTATCGAGGAAGGCTATATGCTATACATTATCACGCTACGATCAATAGGAGCAGATCAACAATGAAAAATGTAGCAAAAACGGTTTTTCACGCGTACGAAGTCGCGGACACAGCTAGAACATGAATAAAAGTGAATAACAACAATAATATTTTACCCAACAGCTTGCCTTTTACCCTTATGTTGGGTTACACAATCTTATTTTAACTTACTTTAAAAAAAGCACCGGTTTTCGTTATACATAGTTATCGTTAAAGTTAGGTGGTGCAACTCAGCACTTTTACCTGTGGATAGTTTAAGAACTTTGGCCCATAATTCCCAGACAATAAAATGTTTAACTGGTTCTCTAATACTAGTTTATATTTAGAGTGTAGTGAACCAAATATAGGTACAGTACGGCTAGTAGTTTGCGTATTCGAATCGCCATCAAAAGATTTAGTAAGAAAACTACAACAGCGCCCTTGTGAACATGTCGTAAAGTGAACTTAGTATGAGAAAGGTTGCACAAAACTTATTTTGAGTTTCAAAATTGTCACATTATCGTATAATTCGAAGTTTGAGTATCGAATTTTGTCGAATACACAAACGATTCGAAGACGAAAGTTGTTCATGCTAGAGGTACAGTGTAGATTACAATAACGGCCCTCACACGTGTATTGGATTTGCCACTGAATAGAGAGGTGTCCTTTGGGATCCTTGTGTACCTATCCCGAGATTAGAGCAACTCTAGGCACATAGTATACCTAAGAACATAATGGGGACATTAACAAAACATAGTGAACAATGTCCCGAATTAGATACCATTAGTATTTTTTCCCAGAAAAGAAAGCCGAATTTTCTTGTTCATTTCTTTTATGGTTTATTGTTATCGTACTATTATATTGTGTGTCATTGTCCTTTTAATGACGAATTTTCCGAATGGACTTTGAACATAAAGTAAAAAGTTATCTACAGGAAAAAGGCTACATGTTTGTGTCTGTCAGACAGTGTTACTTTTGCATTTAGTACTAAATTGTATATAAGTATTCAGTTCCATCAATAATAAAAAAATACAAGAAATCTAAAGCTTTATGTTACTATTAATATCTAAATCATTATACTCTACATATTTTGACTTTCATTTAACTTTTTCATATGTAGAGCCGTTAGCGCATATTACCCGTTTGCACATTAATTAAAACGATAAAAGCTTTTTACAGATAAGATATCAAAGCATTACAAGGAAGATTGTGAGATAAACAAAATGCATTCGATAAAAATGGTTTTTGTTTTGTAAACCCTAAAATCGATAGAAAAGTTTGTTTACCTGTGTGCAATTACTACTCAAAATTATAATTAATAATCACATTATATCTTTATTGATTGACGACGTACAGTTATTGTTTCTACCAGTACTTTTACGTTTACGTCAATCAGTAAGTAGGCACTCATAAATGTTACAAAATATTTTGCTAATATTTTAAATGGGTACTTACTTACAGACTTATGGGCCGCCTGATTCATAGCTTTTATCAAGCTTTCGACAGAGATTGATTATAAGCTGCCAAAATGAACGCCATAAATTTTCACTTAATATCTACATTCAAATCAGTTTTTACGATGGTTTGATAAAGCAACAAATGGTTGTAAATCTATATTTGTCCTACATTTATCGTGTAAGTAACTAATGTTACGCATTCTAACACGTGATACTTTTTTTTATTTTATTTTATTTATTAGGACAACCAACAAGACAAACACGCATACATGGAATTACTATAACTAAAAGTGCTTAGAACTAAGTGTTGTCTTAATTAAAGGCTGCCACAGCATGCAATTCTTTTGTAAGTTATGTATTTGATTTTGTTTGGAGACGTTAGTTTGTCAATTTCAGACACATATATGATTCTCATGGTTTTACTCGTACTTTATTCACGCTTAATTATATTGAGTATCAATTTCGTACACACTATTTAGGGCTTACACCGAACTCGCACATTATCGGGATACCTACCTGACCCATTTATGACTTGGCTACGAAATCAAGTCTCAAATGGAAACGTGATCAATCAAAGAATCTCGAGATACGAATCTAGAAGCCGAACCCCGCAAAACTGTTTAGATCATCGCTCATCTTGATAGGGATGGAGCCAATATAATAATTTAATTTTGCCGCCGTGTAACATAGAAAGTAGGTAGGTATACAATTTAGAGAACATCAGATTAAAAGAGTAGGTCTATTGTGACAATAGACCTACTCTTTTAATGTCCATAAAATAACGCTTTTCATGACAACATATTTTTTATAATGCCACAGTGTTTACAAATATTGAAACCACTGATACCCACGATGAAACAGTTAGGCAGCTAGATGCTGCTAAAATACATTAAATGCTTGGACACTGAGTCCGTGATATTTATAAGCGCGTACGCATTACATCTCTCTTATATTATAAGAGAATACTTTCCTGTCAGAGAATGAGGACACCCATCAATATACTACAATAAGTACTTACACTGTAAGTACAAAGGAAAAGGGTCGGTTCTAATCTTCCATATCTTCAAAAGTACCTGGCCTAGCTTTGTGAAACAAAGCATACGTGATAAAACTACATTTTGTTTATTTATCTATGTACCTAATAATATAAAAATGAATCGCAAAATGTGTTCCTAAGCACATAACTCAACAACGCCTGGACCAATTTTACCAATTCTTTTTTATTTTTCGTTGATGTCCGAAGATAGTTTCTACGGCGAGAAAAATTCGAATTATTGCCGGGAAATCCCCGGGCGATGCCGCGGGCGGAAAGCTAATTTTACATAAAAATAAAAAGCTTTAATAAATTTAGTCTTTATTTTATAAAGCTTCAGATACTTTTGACCATTTTTCTTTGCGGTCCAGTGTAGTTCTACTTTAACAGCCTAATATTTGCTACAGTTCTCCACGCAAGGACGATGTGGTCCCGTAAGCAGTCGGTGTGCAGCGCAGTCAGCGGCGCGTCCAAAGGCGACGATGCAGAAGCCTTCGCAAGCGGCCTGCAGATATACCCCTTCGCTATAGCTCTTAGAGTTAGAGTGCTACAGGTAAGATAATTTTATAGCCTAAAGTGATATTCACGTTATAACAACAAGGGCGACTGTTAGTAATGCGAGAGCTTAGCCAATAGATAACGTCACCATACGTCCCGGTTTAGGCGGGACAGTCCCGGTTTCGGGCAGTCTGTCCCGGTGTCCTCAGCGAAGCCAACATAGTCCCGGTTGCAAGCCGACCCAACGATAGTTTAAAATTATTTTTTCCACTCGACAATAAATACAAAAATACGACTTAGGACTCACGCCACTACTGGAGGCTTAGTTAGTAAGTCATACCAACTATTTTGTGTTTGGAACTTTGATTATTTTGTGTTGTAAAACACTAAAACCTTTTTTTTGTTATATTATTTCCACAGATGTGTCTCGCTTTCACATAAATAAATGGTCACGTTACCAATAGATCAAGGCAAGTTGTAATTGGAACATGTAGGTAATGTGCCCTGAATGGGGCCTACATACTTATACATTATATGAATTTGAATATGAACCGCGACTCGACTGATATAAGAGTAGTACTGTTTTCAGTCTAATATGAAAGAAAAGTACTACCAACCTACAATTTAATTTTGCTGGAAGCGAACAATTAATTAATGTTATATCTAGTACAATTGTAGAGATAAACAATATTAAACGATCTCTACATTAGTTACCATCATATTCCACATTGATTTCTAAATCCCCGGATAAGTAAAAGTACACAAAAGCTTATAAACAACTAGGGTAAACCAGAGAGTGATTGCCCACCGGTAGTGATTGCCCACTTTAAGAATAATATTGTCAGGTACTGACTTTGAATCACTCTAGTTAGATTTGAATTTACTAAGTAGATGGCTCCGAGATCAATGTACAGTAGATTTAAAATTTACAATAGGAAACACTAAAAAAAAACAGTTATGGCGGATTTTGTCAAGACGGGTGAAAATGTTACTCAAACAGGTAAAGACTTTAACAATTTTACTAAGGAATTACTTGCTTAGAGGTTAAATTTTTTTTGCAAGTTATTTAATATTCAACTAATGGTGTATAGTCATGATGAAATTAGAAGTGTTTTCTCCATTATCAATGAAAATAACTGATAAAATTTGATTTCTAACGGTCATTTTAACGGTGGGTAATCACTGCACGTAAATCTGTATATTTTTAGTTATTGCCCACCATCATTTCAGTTATTGCCATATGTTAATGTATAGTTATTGCCCAGGGCAATTATTATTAGAGTGTTGCCACCATGCAGTAGCAGTGTTTAAGTTGCTCATTGCTAGACTTGTTTTGCAATTTACAGGCATAAATATTGAAATGGCTTTTAATGTTTCATTTTCAGTATGCCAAAGACTCCAAAAGTTCAATATAGCATAGAAAATTTGCAAAAAGCGATCGAAGCTGTACAAGATGTATCCAACAATTTATCTACAAGATAAATTGCTGAAAAATATGGTTTGGCTTGAAAAAATTGATAAAAATTCAAACGCAAATACAAAAAATGAAAATCCTACGTTAAATCTACTAGTGAAAATGTTAATTGTAAGGAAATAGATACAACTTTAGGGAAGAATAACCAACAGCTAATTGAACATTCTGAGCAACCACTTGAACTGATATCAAAGAAGATAAAAAAATAAATACATATAAAATTTACATATAAAATTCAAATTTTTGCGTCATCTATGTTTTGAAGTAGATGATTCTGTCTCTACCGATTCTGACTCATCAACATCAGCTCAAGAAATATTTGATAATATGTTAATAAGGCCAAACGCAATTTATTTTGAAATTTTGAAGACTGTACTACTAGAATTTAAGTTTAATGTTTTGTTTTGTTTATTTAAAGCCTATTTTGTCATTTTAAAATTGATTATTTTGTTTTAAGATACTGGGCAATTACTGTGCTTTGATGTGGGCAATTAGTGTAAGTAATGGGCAATGACTGTACTTTTTGGAGGATTTTAAATTTATTTCAATATTTTCTAAGTTACGTAAGTTTTAACTAAAAACTGTTAATATTCTGTTTAACAGTTTATTGAGTTATAAGAAAAAAGTCATAAATGGTCGATAATTAAAATACTTTCTTTAATTTTTCATCTCAATGTGTTTGAAATCTTTAAGTGGGCAATAGCTATACGGTTTACCCTATGTACTTTAATTTATGGAATAACAATCACTACGTGGAAATTTTCGACCGATCAAAATTACATTTACTTCATGAAATAAACATTCTCTAATCTGCTTTAGCGAGGGCTGAGCAGAAATTAATCAATATAACCAATCAACCAAGCTGACTAGTGATTACATTTTAATCCAGTTTGCCTGGGATTAACCCCCAGTGGCAGCGGTCTACCGACAAAAAACGGTTGCTTAGATTTTGGCTAACTTCCCTATAGATTAGTGGTGACTGAAACCTTTTTTATGAAACAGAAATTAATTAAAATGTACAGTGAGAGATTAGTGCGTCTGCTTTTTATTTTGAAGACATCAATTTTTTAAGCTTCTTAGTTCTAGTTCCTTTCAACGATTTAATAACGCAACGCTTTTACTTTTATATTAATTGAAAATAATACATAATTTAATACCTACCTATTTGGGTTATTACTTAGTATTTTAAATTCAAACTCGGGCAAAGTAACTAACTATTATATCAAGCTACAAATCTTAATTTTATTGTATGCTAACGACTTCAAATTGAAACTCTACTTCAAAGTTTGTTTAAGCTTTAATAACACTCAGTAAAGTTGTTATCAATGCCAGACTAATTTGACTAAAACTGATAATATCTTACAGAGCGAGTACGCTATGATAGATTTATTTTGTGATAAAAAGTAATAATAATAATAAATACACTTTATTGCACACCAAAGTAAAGAACAGAAAGAAAAGGAACACACTTAGTAAGTAGTAGGTACTTAAAAATTAAATTAGGTTATTATTATGGCATGAATTTACGAAAACATTGTTAGAATATTATTTCTGAATCTTACGTACCTAGATTATTTTGATCCTTAAGAAGATGATTCTGGTGCTCAAATACAACAGTTTTTCATTATAGAACATCAAACATAGAAATTTGGAAAAAAGTGTTCTCCATACTATCCAATCACCATTTTATTTAACTGTGACAATTTGTATCTGAAGGTGAATTTGTTTTGATTTCGGTTACCTGTATAAATACGAACAAGTATTTGAACGACTAAATCACCCTGTTCGGATCGGAGATTGTTGTTATTAAGTACTTCAATCATCACTGATGATGTTCAAGTAGTCAAACTTGGTAACTTTATCACAGATAGTCTGCGGTATCGGCGGGCTGGTGGTGGGCGCTGTGGGCTGGCTGGAAGAACGACAGAAACCGATGCTGGGGCTAGGAGTCCCGGCCGGCGCCGTTACTGTGCTGGCTGCAGGTTTGTATGATGACCCAAGAGCTAAGCATACAACGCATACTTACGCCCGTATCCACATAAGATACTTGCTTAAGTGAAGCAGCAAATCGAACGCACAGCGTTCAATAGAGCTCTGTGATTGGTGTGTCACCCTGTACGTCGACTCGCACTGTGAGTCCTCATAATGTTTGTGAATACCGGCGATTGTCATGTGGGAGTACGCGTACGTTACTTACTTATGTGTAGGAGAAGCACAGGCCTCACCCCAACCTATGCACCATCGTCACTGTAGTACAACATACAAAATGCCTTTGGCTTAAGTTCAGCAGTGGACGTCCTATGGCTGATAAGTATTATTCCGTTGCTTAAAACTTTTGCGCTGCATGAATCACAGTGAATTGCCTTACGCGCCTTTTGTAGCACGAATTTAATTGTCGTTTTACCCATGCAATCATACACTTAAATATTTATCAAAGTGGAACCTACCCAATTAGAGAATCCAACTAAGTAAAGCATTAATATTCTGATATATTGCACAAAATAACTAACGCAGCACGGATCAACAAAGTTAGCCGGAGCGAAACTCTGCCCTCACAAAGCGATTGCGGTTTAATCCCGTTTAATCAAGCCAATGTTGACACTGCCGTCTGTCACGACCAGGAAAAGTGAAATTTTAAATGCTACCATTATAAATCATCTGAGCGCAATTTGGTCTAATGCTAAATTTCTCAAGAATATAGGGTTAACATAGAGAAGAGTTTGACATTTTGAAAGAGTTGGGATTACTTTTTGCATTAAAGTAGCGTCTATTTTTATTCATTTTTGTAAATAGAAAAGAATAGAATGTATTTATTTGTCTTAAAAAAGGTCCATAATAACGACCGGTCCAAATCTTTAGAAGAGGCCTTTGTCAAGCTGTGGACTTTTCGCTGGAACAAACGAACAGTGTACAACAGTGGTATCAGGCAAAATGATCTATATGACTCTGTTTAAACATGAATGAGTTTGTAGTGGAGATGTCAAAGGCTAAAAAACGTCAGGATAAGAAGCCAAAAGCTTTCACATAATCTGACGAATCCAGACAGATGGTAACCCTGTACGAATTGCAGTTTCCAACTCCGCATAGAAATAATTAGAATAATATCATGTTCCCTGGGTATTTGAATATGGACTTTGACAACTAATTTGAGTTAGTGACTGTCCCTGACGGCGCTGTGTTGTGGATTTGGTTGTGAAATAAATAGATATTAAGATTATTTCTGGTTATATTTTAATTTGAATAATCCTAGTTGTCCTTCCTTTTATGTTTTCAATTTGTGATAGTCGTATACTTAATAAGACAGGGTCCTCGAATTAACACTAATAATGGTGCAAATGCAGTAGCGAGGTTTTGATACACTTACCATGGGATCGGGATGCAGTATTGTCCAATAATTCGATATGAGGAAGCATACCTTGATTCTGCTTTTGACATGATATTTACTTTGATAGTAGACTAGCGACTGGCTGATGATGACATTTATTTGATAGACCTCTGATTGCGCTAAATGAACAAAAACATGAATTCGTGTAACCTTGTAAAATTATGTGCCCTTCGTTCGTTCGTTCGTTCGTTTCAGCCAAATGACGTCCACTGCTGGACCCCTCCTCCTCCTCCCCCTCCTCCTCCGGGCTGGAAGACGTAGCGTGGGCAGGCCTCCTACTAAGTGGACCGACGACCTGGTAAAGGTCGCGGGATGAACCTAAATGCGGGCAGCGTAGGAACGTTCATTGTGGATATGTGCCTTAATTTAATTTTAAAAAGTATTTTCTCTATTTCTAGTTGCAAGGTTACCACAGCGTTTCTATCTGCAGTCTCAAGGGATAACGTCAGTCCTAATCCAGAGAGGTCGTATTTGATTCCCAGCTCGTATAAACCTCAGTTATAATGAAATGTGTGCAGTATTTTGCAAAGGTATCCCTGGAATTGCAATGAAACTTTTAACAAAATATAGACACGTGTTAAAATAACATTGACTTGTGGTGGTATAGTTGATTGATGGCACATCATCAGACTATACATTTTATTGCAAAATAGCTCTTGTTACATAAGCCACAGAATTTAATTTGACGTGTCGTAGACTAAACGAAGTTCAAAGTTTCATCATTAGAATGCTACATTATCCCTTTATAACTTAGGCTATTACACTGATACACGCAGGGGAAACCGCAAAGAAAAGCTAGTAATTAATATTACTACGAAATAAGTTATTAAATGATTCACGGATTTTTTTCCAAAGTAAACCACTAAACCACCCACAGAATCAAGGAGCATTCGGTGGGAACCTTCTGAGAATATAACTAGGGGTTTCTAGTCAACTGAAAGACTACTTGAAATCCAGCATTTACGGGAATCGCTATACAAATATCTAACGCCCGTATTCACAAACGATGCTTCGTTGCGTTCGTTATAACGTTACTCTGCAATATACTAGTAGATCCGGCGTCGTTATTATATGAAAATATCACAGAAAATACGCATATACAAAATAGAATACAGTAGGCCCAGCTCAGAGATAACTTACAGTTACATGAAAATTAATAGTGAAATAGGTATACGGAAGGTTTCTGAAGGGACCTAAAGAATAAAACTGAATCCTGACCGACTACAAAAAGTGACATTCGATTTCACAGTCACTTCACGGAGCTAAGTAAAAAAATGAGCGATAAAAATCTAGGCATCAGTGAACCCACTGGTATATCTTGCAGTATCATTTTATCATCTGATCTGAATGCAAGCATAAACATAAAATTACACTAGCGTTTGAGATAGTAGTGATCTGCATGGTTTGAACGATCTTTGAAGATGGATAGTTACAAATAGGTTATTGATTTATTTATACGAGTAATACTGTTGTTTTTACAAGCTTTTATTTTAATTTGCAAAAGCTAAAACTCAAACAAGGAGCTTTTACTGTTTCATACACCAAGAAATATAATTAGGAAGAAAAAGTTTGAATAAGTATTGCTTTTTTATGTAGCGACGTTAATTAATTTGGACAGCCAGTCAACCCTCAGTTGTACAATGGAGCACAAGTAAAATGTTTTATTAAAAGTATTTAAAATATTAATCATTAATAATATTTGTTTTTTACACATCAAACTATCTAAATACTTTAAGTTACTTACCTAGTAAAAATGTGTAATCATAAACTTATTTCACTCCAACGTTAAGGTTTTCTTTCTTTTCATGATATTCTATAGAAGACCTCGTCTTCAATATTATTCTATTACATTCAATACTGAAATGTAAGGGCACCTTAACAAATGCGCGAGCTCATTTTCATATTAAGAGAATATTTAGATGAGATGTCTATTCACGCGTAATTAATCGCCGATGTATTATACTTTGCACTTAATACACTTTACGCGTATGTACCTACTATAGTTACGACTAAGTATAATGTAGAGATACTCAATCATTTCTTTCTTAAGAAGAAAGGGTTTTTGCGCTACATTGTGATCAGATTATTTAACAGGTAGGTGACTTCTTAGTTCTTGCCAAAAAATATCAATCTAAATATATAAAAGGAGAAACTGACTGACTGACTGACAGATCAACGCACAGCCTAAACGGCTAAACGTAGGAAATTGAAATTTGGAAGGGACGTAGCTTAGGTACCGTAGAGGTGCACTAAGAAAGGAATTCCCGAAATTCCCACGGGAACGGGAGTTAGCGGGAAAAAAACATTTGTATGAAAAAATCTAAACCGCGTACGAAGTCGCGGGCGGCCGCTAGTATCTATTAAACACTTAGAAACTTCTTGGGTAAGCATAACTTTCGGGCTTACGTTTGATTCATGAACGACCCCTCATCACTGCTGAACTAGAAGCTAAGGGTTTTATTTTTAGGCAACCAGTGTTGGTCCTATGGAAAAAGTTTCCAAATTCTTCTCTTTGGAATGTGAATAGTTTACCATAGTGGGCACCTTAACCAAAAAATTCATAAATTCTGAGGCAAAATTTCTGAGTGCCTCTAAAATTTAATAAAATATGTCAGTGCAGAAGTGTAATATCACCCTCGCCAAGTTTTCGCTCTAAATTACCTGGATTAAAACTTGAGGTGACATTTCCACTTAATGGCTTGAAAACATGATTAAGACGGTAGACTGAAGAAGAAGCTTTACAAATGATATAATGAAGACATCAGTATTCTTTGTTATGCGCAAACACGAGTATTATCCTGGAATCACAATGTAAATGGAACGAACAAAAGGAAGCAATGTTAAAAGCAAACCCAAATTCCATTAACAGAAAAATTAATACTTTTTGCGGATAATCCTAGAAACCTACATTCCTCTTCGGATAAAATCTGCATGCACTGACGTGTAACCCGAAAATATCACTGGAATTTCTCTCGAAAGCCGACACCACGAGTTTCACATGCTACGCCTGAAAATATTGTAGCTAGGTTTACACTAGCATGTTCGTTTAAGATGGTTCAGAAATTGTTGCGTGCACTGTAATTTTAGAATATGTACATAGATTCTATAATGTGTTACGTAATTAATTTAAGCAGGTTAATTCTAATTTTGGAGATATTTTGCCATGAACATATGTATTATTATCAATAACTAATTACTTACTAATTATTGAAATTTTATAAACGTAAAACATGACGTTTGTGTTCTTCTGAAAATGTTAGAGTTATCTTAATGGAATCAGAAGTTTTATTTCATTACTCATACAAAGGTTTCTGTATAAGTTCAATTCTTCCTTTTGAATTTGACGAGCCTTTTCATGCTATACCAATAAGTTATTCAACAATGAAGCTTTCAAACGCGGCCCATGTTACACATTCACGAAGTGTTGTTACGCGGCGGAATTGCTGCCTCCATTATAAATCTTTATGCTACGTCACGCCGAATACATTTACCCAAACATTTTATACAGGTAGCGATGTTATATCCTAAAAGTACGTACAAAAAGCGAAAAAAGCTTATTTTATGGATTCTGTTCTTCAAATACAATAACTGACTAAAACGCTGATCACTATCTTTAATGATAAAACTTTAAACATTGAGCACAAAAACCGTCACCTTTTAAAATGACCTAGACAAATACATACATTTCTTCCGCGCCTTCCTCTCAAATCGTTTTCATACCTATCTTACTTATACCTACTTTAAAGAGATCGTCGAAAGGTCGTGTGCATGTAGAGTATCTTTCTCACCATTTCACACTAACGTTTATGTAACTTTTTCATCATTTGAAATCTGGGAATATGTACTCTTTTAACCCTTGTTTGTACACTTTATTTATGTGCTACAACACGTACGTCGTACACTATATTCTATGTTCATGTTTATTTCAGACAGGTAAATTGTAACTAAGACGGATCGCTACACACATTATTTTCCAGGATAAGAAGAAGATGGATTTGAATAACAAAGTTCTCCAGAATAAACCAGATTGTATCTGAAGGCGTCGCTTGACCCGCTTATATAGAATGCGTTTCCCTTGTAGGGAAAGTGGGAAAACATCAAAGATGTAGGTCAAACGCTTGTAACGAGAAAGACTACGTCTTTTTGTTGCTGTTAGTACGATTCGCTTACGACTTTTTTGACAATTCGTTTGTTCTTTACCAAAGTTCTAGTATCTCTAATAGAGCGTTATGTTTGAACTTTATTCTTTCGAAGTAGAATGAATAAAATGAACAACTTGTCTAATTTTCCTAAATACTTTTTTCGGTTTGTTTGAAAGTTTATTTAAAAAGCTTTTGTATAAGGTTCTTAGGTAATTATGATTTCTGCTCGAGCTACTTCGTGATAGGATATTATGTACTACAATTTACGTTTCAATAATTTGTTATTTTATTGAAAAATCTCAAATACATGGATGCATTGCAGAATCGGTCTTTATGGAAATCCTTCGAGGAGGCCTTTGCCCAGCAGTTGACGCCATTTGGCTGAAACGAACGAACGAACTCGAGTTAAAATATAGACACGTAAATTAAAATAACTGACGCTGGCCGCTACCAACATGGAAAGCATTGAGGGAGGCCTATGTATATGATGATAATGATGAAGTAAAATTATTAAAATACCAATGAAAAGGGCTATTGTGTGCCAAATGAATACAAGCTTTAGCGCTATCTCGTTATCTTCGCGATCCAAAATAATCAATTAGCGATAATTACTATAGCAACGTCGGTGTACTACAGCCGAGGGTTTGGCGGCTGGGCGTCGGCGCGGGCGCGGTCGAGTCGGCGGTGGGGCGCCCCCTGGCGGGCCCTGGGGCCCTCGCCGTGCGCCGCGGTGCCCCTGACCACGCTATGGACGGCGGCCCTGGCTGCGCATGTGGCTATGCTGGTGTTTTGCATCAGATCCTTGATGAATATTGGGTAAGTTAAAATTCTTGACTCCATTCTTTGTTATTCTTTAATATTCTATGTGAAAAGTATAGCATCCCCATGGGATTCCCTATTTCATGCGCGATGACAGTAGATCTGGCTGTAACTACGCTGGCTTTCTGTCAGTAGATCTACTACCCAATGTGTTTATCTACCTATGCACCACATGCATTGGTGGCATAATATCTCGCCCTAGAAAATAAATAAATAAATAGAAAACATACGAAACTTCGGATAAAGTTGTTCCCGAAAGTAGTCCTGCAGGTTCTTAATGAAATAAACGTTGGATTAGTTTGAAGATTGTATGCTTCATTTATCTACACTAATATTATAAAGAGGAAAACTTTGTTTGTTTGTTTGTTTGTTTGTTTGTTTGTTTGTTTGTTTAGTTGTAATGGATAGGCTCAAAAACTACTGGACCGATTTTAAAAATTCTTTCACCATTCGAAAGCTACATAACTCACGAGTAACATAGGCTAAATTTTATTTTGGAAAAAAGTAGCGTCCCGTAAAATATTTGGGATTTTCATAAGACGTGGAAAAGCGCCATCTATCGTCATTGGTTAAAATCTTCTTGCGCCTGACAAAAAATTTTGAGGTACCTAAATATTCATGAAGGCAAAGCTGTCAAACGCCATCTATCGACATCATTAGTAAATTAGTAACTAAATATTACATGTACTATGAATAACGCTGTTCGTAAATAATATAGAAAATTTAATAAATAAAAATATTTTATGTATTTGAACCATTCCCTGTATGTACCTATTTGAATCATTCACTGTGTTTAAACGAGCAAATCAAAGTGTTAATTAGTGACTTTTTACAAACTTCCTTGCAAATTCTTATTAAGTGCCGCCATCTACCGAGATGAATATTAGGGTACGGTTCAGCGGCGGACAAATGGGATGGGCGCGTGGGCGATTGTAGTTAAATAGGATAAGAATTACTTCGTTTTTGTTTTCTGTATGTAATTTGTTAATTTTTTGGTAGGGTCTTTATTTTAATTACTTAGGTTGGTAGGTACCTACTTACTTATTTGATTTTAATGATAATTACTATAGGTACGTATAATTTTAGTAGAAAGAAAGGTCATTGAATGACTAAGTGACTCACTCACTCATCACGAAGTCTCAGAAACTACAAGTCTCAAAAGAGTTCTCATAGGGGTTAATGGTCTATTCCACCTGGCTTTGATCACCAAGATGATCAAAGTGGACTCCAGTTAAATAATTTTTTTAGTGTTCTTTGATCACCTATAAATAAATCATACCTCTGAATTGTCACATACATGTCCAATTTGTTTATTGCGGTTTTTAGAAAATATCAAAAATGTTACAAAACAAAATATGTAGTACAACAATTGGACATGTGACTATTCAGAGGAGGTGTGATTTGTTTGTAGATGATCAAAGGACACTAAAATAATAATTTAACTAGAGTCCACTTGGCTCACCCAGGACATCGTATCCGTGGGTGATCAAAGGCACAGAATAAATTCAAAGGACACTAAATTGTCGCTGTAAGTCCACTTTGATCACCTGGCTGATCAAAGCCAGGTGATCAAAGTGGAATACACCTCCTTTTAGAACGTAGGTAGTCACTAAGACGAAATTTTGCAAAATTCAACCCTTATGGGAGTTAAAAAGGGGGTTAGAAGTTTGTATTGCAGTCCTCGGTTTTTAAAGTAAGAGACTTGAAAGTTAAAGTGTATGCTCACTATGATCTCTAGATATTGTGGAGGTGTACATATACTGTTCGGTACACTGTGGTACTGTGTACACATCGGTTTGCCGACGATATTGTGGTCATGGCAGAATCGTTGGAAGATCTTGGCACAATGCTCGAAGACCTTAATCGATTTTCCCAACAGGTAGGCCTGAGGATGAACATGGACAAAACGAAGCTTATGTCGAATGTCCATGTTGCGCCCTACCCAGTTTCAGTTGGGAGCTCAATTCTCGAGATTGTCGACAAGTAGGTATGTCTACCTCGGACAAACGATCCAGCTAGGTAGGTCCAATTTCGAGAAGGAGGTCAATCGTCGAATCCAACTCGGCTGGGCAGCGTTCGGGAAACTACGCAACATCTTTTCGTCCAAAATACCTCAATGCCTAAAGACTAGAGTGTATAACCAATGTTTGTTACCAGTGATAACTTATGGCTCGGAAACGTGGCCTCTCACTATAGGCCTTATACAGAAGCTCAGTTGCACAGCGTGCTATGGAGAGGGCTATGCTTGGTGTTTCTTTGCGAGATCGAATCAGAAATGAGGAGATCCGTAAACGAACCAAAGTCGCTGACATAGCCCGACGGATTAGCAAGCTGAAGTGGCAATGGGCAGGGCACATAGTACGCAGAACTGATGGCTGATGGGGCAGAATAGTTCTGGAATGGAGGCCGCGTACCGGAAAACGTAGCGTGGGACTTCCACCTACAAGGTGGACCGACGACATCGTAAAGGTAGCAGGGAAGCGCTGGACGCAGGCCGCTTCCAATCGATCAACATGGAAAGCATTGGGGGAGGCCTATGTTCAGCAGTGGACGTCCTATGGCTGAAATGGTGGTGGTGGTGGTGATGGTGGTACATATACTGAAAATGTATCATTAGAAATCAACTACGGGGGCTAAGGAGATAAAAGGAGGGTTGGAAGTTTATATTATGAAAGTCCTATGTGTTTAAAGTAAGAGAGTTGAAATTTAAAATGTATGCGCTATAGATGCTAAGAGCGGATTTTACGAAACTCCACCCCTAATGGAGTAAAACGAGGTCCACGCGTACGAAGTCGCGGGCGGCCGCTAGTTTTTTATATATTTGTAGTTTATACACATAATACAGTACAGTGGCCGACTAAATGCCAGGTAGCATTCTTTGCCAGTCAACCACAAGTAAATTAGTGAGACTAAGGCAGTCCAAAAAATATGACGGTCATTTCAGATTTCAAGATGACCTATGTAATTTAAATTAGAGGTACTTTGCTTGCTGGTCTCATATTGCCCTTAATGGTTCCATTCACATAATGTTTCGGTACAAACTCTTAGGCTGAGTTGCATCATGATAGCGGTTTAAGTAAAAATTTGTGTCAAAGACAGTAACAGTAACGCTGACTATAACGGTTACAGGTCCACACACCAACCAAAATTGAGCTCGAGCTGTTACTGTTACTGCTAAAGTTATGACGTCATTTTACTTTTTGTCAACTGGTGCAACTCTATTCTTGCCTTACCGATACTTTAGCAGAAATGTCGATGTTTCTGTCAAAGTAAGATGGTGCAACCCAGCCTTAATATTGTTTACCAAGGTTATCTCAATGTTAATGGTTATGCTCAGTTCTTATAAATGATTAGCATTTCGCGTGGCGATAATGGTCTGTCGTTTGTCCCTTAAATTTGGCTGGGCTATCAAATTCTGTTTTAATAAGATATTATATCTCTTTAGCTATAAAGAGGTTAAAGACTTATTAAACATGAAAATAGAGAATCGAGGAAAATTCCATGATTATGAAATTATACTCTTAAGAAAATTAAATCGATATCCATTTTAAGAATTTTGACCCTTTTTCGACACTTTGATAGTCTTTAAGGTCCTTACCCCCGTTAAACCACACCATCATTTAACTCAGCCACTAAAAAGGGATTCTAAATTCGAATGTGTCAGAATATTCGATGTGGAATCTCTGCCGTTGATTAGCCGGCTGACTGGCACGCCACTCCAAAGCGCATGCCACAAATTTCCGTGGCAATCACGCAGCGTGGAGTGAAGTGTTCAATTTCAGTTTTCATTTGAAGGGAAATCTCGATGGCTCTCTTTTTTTAGATTAAATATTTTAAATATGTAGATTCTTCGACTGCTATACTACCTACGATTAACGACGATGACTTTCTTTTTTTTTAATGATGAAAGCATTCTCCCCGCAATATCACTCACGTAGTTATTGCTCTATAACAAATTCTTAATATAAACGCCATGTG